CTGTGCATTTGCCGTTTCAGTCCTGGATTATCATTTTTATTATAAGAAACTTACACCTATCCTATTTCAGATATTGAATCACAAGCTATTCGGTGATTATGCACGCATGCCAGTCAATTTCAGTCACCGCTTCTCCTTTTGGGTCTCGAATATAGATTACAATACTTTCAGAACCTTCTACCTTCCCGATCTTGCCCCTGCGTCTTAACTTCGGTCGAAGAAGACAAGATTCCGTAGTCGAGTACTTCGATACAATTACTCCGGGCCATCTCTGACCGTACCCTGGGTGTCAGTCGGGACGCTTGGGCGGGTATCAGCTGATTCGTATACTTGGAGACATACGGCAACTTATGTTCTCTTCTTTTGTTCGATTCTCGAAAGAGAGAACCATGAAATCCAATCGTTTCATTTCTCAGGTACCCAGCGTAGTCAGACAAGCTTATATGACGACCAGGTTTGTAATGCTTTGTAACTGTCGACCATCGAGTTCAGAATATATGCATAGAAACACGTAATGACGTGTACAATCGACTAATTAAAATAGTTGAAACATTAGGAGCTACACAACATTGGCTGACTACCAGCACCTGTGCAAGATTGCAACAATTCTAGGCAAAATAATAATAATCAATTTAAAAGAAGGTAGGAGAAGAACTGAGAAGATTCATTTATAGGGAATGAATCCTCCAATAGTTAAATTCACGGCGCATTAAGCCGCTTCCCTACTCCTAGTTGTCTAAAAGCCCATTTATGAAGACCACGGCTCCATGGCATTTGAGCACTTGCTGTACCTCTTTTCACTTTGGCCACTAGAACCATCTCACGATTATCACACGAGCGATGTTTCAGGAACAGGCACGCATAAACATCAGGTTGTTTGTACACCAGAAAATATCACGTGACGAATGATTCTTCAAAAGCCAGATGCGTCTGATGCTGTAAGTGCTCAAATACCATAGAACCATGTCCTATTTAATTGCCTCCAAGTCAAAGAGGAGGAATAAGGCGATGAAGTACGCCGTGAAATTTGGCTTTGGTAAGACCATTCGTTATTTGGCACGTTTGTGCACATGAACAACTCATGATATATGTGCAGTAACAATCATGATCACTGGATGAATCAGCTTAATCAGAGTGGCGAAATAAACAATTTAACGCAAAAAAGGAAATGAAGGTAATCGAGCCTTAGTACGAATGAAATATGGAAACATCAGCAGAATTAATCTACATCCAAAACTTTCCCCATTACTCTGGCCTGGTGAATTTTTAATCGATTCTGTGTCTTCATACTCCCTATGGTTTCTTATTTAATTAATCGAATTATTGTTATTAGGATCTACATTTGGCCCAGCCGCCACGCCCAGGCAATTTCCAATGTCGATGAGTGCTTCAATAAGTTTGCAAACATGCAAAACACTGTAATTTGTAAATTTTCTGCAACATAAATGCAAAGCCCTACCCGTATTTAGTGGTGAAAGTTGTGCCACAGTGTTACGGGGCACCCTCGGATTAAAACGCCGAGAGGTCGGATACACAAATGCTACACGTAGTGCGCAGGTAATCGTTAAATGACGATATCGCAATATCCCAATAGCACAATCGATTCAAAGTTCGATCGGGAAAATCGATGATTTTTTTATCTTTCGTTTCAAAGGTGCCGATATTACTATGAATCATTTTCGTTGCAGAAAATTTAGACCTACTTGTGTGGAGGTTTATTCATTGTTCGCCCATGTGTTGTCAGAAAACTTGCAAGCATTTGAATAGTAAAGAAAGTCTCGTTACTTAGAAATTATGTTACCGTCTTGCACACATTAGCTAGTATGAGTTATGTTAATAGTTTCTTCTATGTTGCAGATTTTAGCCTTTAATTATTGTAAATGTGCGAAGCTGTACTTTGACCATGCTGGAGAGTAGCATCTTAAACTGACCTTATGGTAAACAGTTAAATTTTCGGTACTAGTAGATGTGGTTTTTTTTAAAAGAAGTCGCAATGGGATCAAGGCAATGTCTTTTCTAGAATAAAACCTATATGTAAGAGTCAATTTAAATGCAACTCTCAATATTGTTATTTTATTAGTTCAGTATGGAATCAAGGGAGTTAGCAAGCACTGTCAAATTCGGAGCAAGAACCATAACTATCTTGCATCTGAAGGTGGCGTGTTGATTTTGGGAAGGGCCAAACTTTTAATTGCAGCTCTCCCGTTTTTTGGATGACGAACCCTGATTTCGTGTAGATGTGAAGCTTGGCTTTATACTAATGCATCTTTGGACGATTTTGATTTTGTGCATTTTAGCAAGATAATCGTGATGAGTTCTCAGATGAGACGGAAGATGGACTTCTCATAGTACACAATTTGTTTAAAATTTAACTACGTATCAAGGGTCCATACTGGGCTGATTTTCAAAGTTTATTCCTTCAGTTAATTTTGCACTTTTGTCCAATCCGCCGTGACTGTTTCTAATATCTTCCGTTTCCACTAGTTGACTTCCGCGCCGACGATTATGCTGGCATTTCTGTGGTTTTTTAATATGCTGTGTTCATCCGCCGTGGACCATTTCTTATTTTCGTTCTGGTTGGACAAGCTACGTTATTTCTGACTTGGTTCTTGAATTTCGGACACTTCCTCCAGTTTGGCTTTCCCAGCACAAACGGTTTATTCAAAATATTTTCCACTTGTTTTAAAATGATGCATGCAATATATAACAGAATAGCAAATTCGTTGACGGATTCCAGACATTGGTTGCCAGGTTTTTGGTCATGAAACGTTCGATTACTTTACTTAAGTCTTTTTTGGAACGGGTTGATCAGGAGGGTGGTTTCGGAAGTCCACTCTGCATGTTGGCATTTTGTATGAGTTTTAAACTTTGTTCAGATTCCAATCCGCTTTATAGAACTGTTCATGGATGAAAGTCTTCGGATACAAGCTATTTTTAAATTTAACGATAAGATTGCTGTTCTCTTGTTTGTGTGAATAGATTTCTGGCATATTTTATCAAATCAATGCTTAGCCCTATTATGAATAATTGTGCGCTATTTGACATCAGATTTCTCGTTATAATTTTGTTGCAGTACTCCTTGCATTAAAACTCTAGTCATTCAAAGTTGCACCAAGATGCGGCCATAAATCCGGAGCAGTGACGCAGCTCGCCAAACATGGAATGGGTGGGCAATTACTGCAGGTTATCCCTTCCAAGAAGTAGCTCTCCACTTTCACATGAAAATCCTTATGGATCTTGCTCCGAATCAAACAGAAGTTGCTCACTCCATTAATTCAAACCAATCTGTTGAAATATAAAATGAACGATGTATTTAAATGAACTAATATTTTTACGATTTAAGCTTAAAAGGGCTGTACCTAGACACATTCGCTTGAAAAAACCCGGTAGCTTTGGATGCATATAAAGCAATTTAAAAATGAACGTTGATGGATTTTTATGATCAGACGTAAATATAAAAGTCTAACGTAATATTTATTCTTGAAGGCTGAACTACTAATGTAGGCTGAATATCTTTAATTCGCGATAACTGTGCATTTCAATACAAAGCGTTCAAAGCACTGAAGCCGCGTGACGAGTAGGTAAGATTGCATACGATCTGAACGCCCAGATTTCATGCCACACATCTAGACTACTTTCTTATACTTATATAAGTGTATTTTTATAAAAGGGAAGAAAGCTGTTGGCTTGTTTTTATGGTTATGTAAGGGTAAAACTGACGCAATCGCATAATTTGCATGCAAATTTTACATTTTGTGACTTGCTCATGCGCAGTATTTCAGATTTTTTGTAGTATTTGATAAATTGTTGCACTTCGTCTTGTTTACGTTTTGAGAATATGAGCGTTTGAATTTTGAAAGATGTTTTTTATTTACGCTGCGTCTTCAGGAATTGTTCAGCGAGCATGTTCTTGAAGTCTCCCTGCTCTCTCACTGCGTTCCGACAAGCCAACTGCTGCGTGAAATTATTTGCCACCACCACCAGGTAAAACAAGATTCGTTGTCTTACTGCATTTCATTAACAACTCTGAAAAGTCTATGCATGTATTTGGATCTTTGCTCTTGAAGTACTTTGCCAAATGATCTCTTCGACGTTATCTGCTTTCACAGTCGCTTGGTTTTCTTGCCAAAATGTATTTAACTATGATCTATGCTAAAATATAACTGTTATGATAGTCCTGTTACTCTGTTGATTTACTTTCCATTGTCGACTACAAAGCACCCATCTTTGCGTAATTCTTTGTAGAAGTCTACCGTATTTTCGCAGGCAACTTTTAAGAAACATTGTGTCAAGGTAGTAAATTGTTTATGCTGCAACCTGTGTACATAATTGATTGAAAGACCAGATTTTTAGTGCTGATTTTCTCTGATTTTTGTATGAATGCAGTTTGCCCACAGACATACTATTTTCACCTGCGATTTATTATAGTAAAACTTTTATAATATTAATGTTAATTTCACACTCATGTACACAAAGGAGAAGCGAAT